AATTAATTAATTAATTAAACACTAAAACGTCTTGTCTTCCATGCTCTTAGGCCTGTATTTCAGCTTACATTATTCACAATTGTCTGAGACTAACAGAAGTAAACTAGGAATACAGAAATATTACATTGCTTCCTTTGAGCTAAATGTATGAGTAGCTTGGAGATTGTTTGTGGGATTTGGAGCCAGAAATCTATGAAGAAGGCAATTACTGTCATCTTAAGTCAGGTTCAGAGGGGTACAGCTGGTCAAAGTAGGTCCTGGAACTGTCGGGTTCCAGATGTACAAATACATTAGTTAAATGGAGATTTTCGTTTTATAAAATAGGTGTGCATACATGGTGTGTCCAGGATCTGTTAGGACTCATTTTTTTTATTATTATTATTATTTTGACCTGCAATTCCATCTGTTGGCGAGTTGTAGAGTTAAGATTCTTGAAGTTTCAGCTGTGGTCGTCTATAATCTCAAAGCGCAAGCATCGCTGCATCATGTGTTCTGACCTTGAATGTAACAGTACTGTGCTGACGCTTGTTGGAAAATGGCGGTTGAACAGAGAGCCAACATCAAACTCTGTTTGAAGTTAGGCAAAACAGCCGGAGAAGCGTATCAAATGATGAAAAGTGTATACGGTAGTGACTGTTTGAGTCGCTCGAACATTTTTCGATTGTATGCTGTATTTCGTGACGGCAGGAAGGACACTGAAGACGCTCCACATGTATCAAAGCCGAGAACAAGTCGCACTGAAGAAACTGTGAAAAAAGTGACGGAAATCCTTGAATCAAACAGATGTGTTTCTGCAAGACTCATCGAGGAGCTTCTGGGAATACCAAAAAGTACTGTGCATCAAATTTTGACCAAGGATTTGGGCAAACAGAAGGTCTGTGCGCGGTTTGTACCGCACGCGCTGTCAGCCGATGAAAAACATGCCAGAGTGGAACACTGCAAAGACATGTTACGGTCGGCCCAAAGTGATACAAAATTTACAAAATCAATTGTTACTGGTGACGAGACATGGTGTTTTCAATATGAGCCTCTCACAAAGCGGCAGAGTGCAGCGTGGTTGAGCCCAAAGAAGTCGAAACCAAAGAAAGTGCACATGCAGAGAGTCGAGTGAAGACACTGCTAACCGTTTTCTTCGATTCTAGAGGAATCATTCACAAGGAATTTCTGCCAGAAGGTCAAATAGTGATTTGTTGTAAGTGCCTCTGAAGATGGTTCCTTGGAACCGAAACATGTAAGGCAGATTAGATAAATAAGTGACCAAATATATCTTGTTGCACTTGACGGAAATTCTATTGACAATTGGTCAAATAGTGAATTCTGATTATTATCTCGGAGTCCTCAATTGTTTGTGGGCGAGAATTCTTCGAATTCGACCTGAATATCGAGAGCAAGGTCCTGGACGCTCCTCTACAATGCCCCACCCCACAAATTGAAGATCGTGCGCGATTTTTTGGCCAGCAAAGGGATTACAGTCCTTGATCATCCTCTGTATTCGCCAGATTGTTCCCAAAAGTTAAGTTGGCGATGAAAGGAGACCGTCACGACACCATCCAGGACATCCAAAGGGAATGTACCGCAAGTTTCAAATGCGATTCCACAAAAGGAGTACAGTGACTGTTTTCGAAAACTTTTCAATCGATTCCAGCTATGTATTGATTCAGAAGAAGACTATTTTGAATAAAAAGAGTGAAATTTTGAAAATAATTCACGTCTTGTATTTTTAATGAACACAGTCCTAACAGAACCTGGACACACTGTGTATATTGCCCAAGCGGTTAGTCGCTAGCTTCCCACCGCGGCGGCCCGGGTTCGATCCCCGGTCTGGTCAAGTGGGATTTGTGGTAGACGAAGTGGCGCTGAGGCGGTTTTTCTCCGAGTACTTCGGTTTCCCCTGCCAATCTTCATTCCACCAAATTCTCCATCATCATAATCACCCGGGGCAGGTACAATAGGCCAATCAGTGGCCGCCGTGCCGAGTGGACCCAACTGGACTCCACCCCCCCACTAAGCGAATTTCATAAAAATATTATTCATAGGCGCGGAGCTGTTTGACTCAACCAATTCGATATGAGGGATCCGTATCAAGGCGCGTCCACATTGCTCGTGTCCGTGCTCGTGCTCGCCAGGCTTGTGGTCGTCGGGAGACTCGTCTGGCTTTTACTTGTGCTCGTAAATCTTCGTCCACACTACTTCAGTTGCTCGCCAGGCTTCGGCGTGTGAGGATCCGTATATTTACTCGCAGTGTGTACAGGCTGTAGTCGTATTTTAATTTATTGGCTTATAGTTTTTAAATTAAAAATTAAAACTTTGCTTGTCTCGTCCACATTACTCGTGAGCATAGCGAGTCACACGAGCACGAATAATGTGGACGCGCCTTTAGGGGCAGACATCGCTTCTTGGAAGGATGATGCGTCGCGGGGATGTCGTCTCGAAGCGTTTTGTTTTCAACTTACAAGTCAAGGGGAGTGTTCGGCAGATCCAGAAAGTTCATTTAAAATAAACTAATGTGTACTTAGTTAAAATTACATCCGCTACAAATTATCAAAATGGTGTCACTATGCCTTACTGCTTCTCCGGCTCCAGTAATTCGGTATTCAATGGTATAACCTTCTGAATTCAAATAAATGAACTTCCATCATCAAAGCGACTCATTGTGGCTTGTTGTATGGCGCATGACAGGTATGTATTTTCCCGTAAATTCGACCTTCGAGACAAAGCCAAACCTCAACCGGCTGAGCTACCTAACCAAACAAATCCTATAATAAGAATAATTACCCTGAAACATTAATCCATCAACTTACCACCTTGGCCGCTTTTTCAGTTTCTTAATCCTATACACAGTCGGTAGGACTCCTTGGACGGGAGATTAGCCCATCGCAAGGCAGCTACCTATACGCAGAACAATATAAACACAGAATAAACGCATGCAGACATCCATGCCTTGAGTGGGATTCGAACATATGACCCCAGTGTTTGGGCGGGCGAAGACAGTTCATGCTGTTCGTGCCTTAGACCGCGCGGTCACTGTTACAGGCCATCAACTTACCTATCCACACTTCAGCCAGCGC